GAGGGAGGGGGAGGGGAGGGGGGGGAGGGGGAAAGGAAGGGGGAGGGGGATGTGTCTGAGGAATCTGTAGGGCAGAATTTTTTTTTTTCTTTTGAGACAGAGTCTCACTCTGTTGCCCAGGCTGGAGTGCAGTGTCGCAACCTCGGCTCACTGCAACCTCTGCCTCCTAAATTCAAGCGATTCTCCTGCCCCAGCCTCCCGAGTAGCTGGGATTACAGGCGCACACCACCACACCTGGCTAATTTTTGTATTTTTAGTAGAAATGGGGTTTCACTATGTTGGTCAGGCTGGTCTCGAACGCCTGACCTTGTGATCCGCCCTTCTCAACCTCCCAAAGTGCTGGGATTACAGGCGTGAACTGCCACCCTCGGCTCTTCCCCTCCACACACCAGATTTTGCTCTGTCGCCCAAGCTAGAGTGCAGTGTTGTGATCTTGGCTCACTGCAACTTCCGCCCCCTGGGTTCAAGCAATTCTCTTGCCTCAGCCTCCCTAGTAGCTGGTAGTACAGGTGTGCACTACCATGCCTGGCTAATTTTTGTATTTTTAGTAGAGACAGTTTCACCATATTGGCGAGGCTGGTCTTGATTCTGTCACTGGGATTAATTTACTGGGTAGAAACACGTACATGCACCCGGGTGTGTCCGATGTGAGCAGTGGCCCACAACCCGACTGCCAGGGAGAGGTGTCTGGAACAGAGGCCGGACGGGCCAGGATCAGCCTCTCAGGCCAGCCCCTGTCTTCAAGCATGGCCAAGAATGGGGCTGCCAGCTACCAGATCTGGGCAGCATCAGCAACACCTCCTCTCAGGCTGGATGGCGCTATCAGGGAAAGAGGATGGGGCCTGAGATTGTCAAGTCTCCGAGTCTGGCCCTGTGGCATCACAGGCTGCGGACAGCACTGGGTGACCGTGGGCTCTCCATTCCCGCCCCACCCTGGCCCACCGCCTGGGCAGCTTTCCACTCACGCAGGCAAATGGGGTCTGATGGGCTTTTTCCAGGCGGGGTCGATGGCCTGGCCCAGCAGGAGCCACAGGGACAGGACAGGGTGGGGACCATTCCTGGACAGTCAGGGGAGGTGAGGTATGACCCTGAGCCCCTGTGGCTGGGGCAGGGGGTGGGTAGCAGCTTTGCTGGGGGCAGAGGGAGGTCAGGAGGGGGAGATCAGCAGCGCCCCCAACCCACATCCTGTTTTCAGAATATGGGGCCCAGCATGTGCTTTTTCCCTTGGACGTTCTCCAGGGCAGCGTCCCCCACCCAGGCCCACTCCCAAGGGAAGCCTGCATGAGGGTGGGAGGGTTCCCCAGCACACGCAAGCAGGGGCTCACCTAGAGTTTTTCCAGTGGGGGCTGGGCCCCTGAGCTGGAAGGGGTGGTGGGTGGAGGGCTCATGCCCTCCCCTTCCTGAAAGTGGGCCTGGGGGTTTCTGTCAGCAGATGGAAAACCACGCAGGCCCCCATGGCTGACAGGGAGAGGAACTGTGGCCGAGGAGGTGAGTCCCGATACCCTTCCTCCTCGAGGGACAGGAATGACCTCCCGCCAGCCCACACAAGCCTGGCACAGAGGCAGCCCCTGCTGGGCACTGTCAGGCCCTGGGACACCACCTGGGAAGCCCAGCCAGGCTGGATGCTTCCACGAAAGGCTCAAGAGCTTGGGCTCCAGAACCGGTAGGACCCCGCTTAGGCCTGAACCTGCTATTTACCGGCTTTGTAACAGCAGGCATGTGGCTTAGACCCTCTGAGTCTCAGTTTTCCCAGGTGTAAATAGTGCCCTCCTGCCACTGTTGACAGAGAAATGAACGAGCTTGTTGGTATTAAGGAGCTAACGGGGCTCCACACCCGGTCTGACCCAGCAGGTGTGCAGGTGAGGCGGGGTGTGCTATGCACTCAGGTGGACCCCTAGAAAGGCAGAGCAGACAACCAAACATCTCAGCCTGGAGTGTCCCCTCCCTGACCACTCAGATCACTGTGGGTCACCCTTACTCCCTTCTCTATAAAACAGCTTCCCCTGCCACCCAGGACAGTAGGAAGGAACTCTCAATTCAGAGCATTCTGGCGGGGGGTGGGGGGACGGGGGGAAGAAGTCTTCTCTCTATTCTTTACATTATAAAATGACATGTTAGGACAGGCATGGTGGCTCACGCCTGTATTCCCAGCACTTTGGGAGGCATAGGCAGGAGAATCACTTGAACCCGGGAGACAGAGGCTGCATTCAGCCAAGACAGCGCCACTGCACTGCAGCCTGGGCAACAGAATGAGACTCCATCTCAAAAATAAATAAATAAATAAATAACATGTTTATTATAGTAAAGCTGGAAATTACAGAAAAGTGGGAAGGAAACCAAAGATTTTATTTAACTACTAAAGCCAGCCACTTAGGATATTTTAATGATTTTCCATATGGGATTTTTTTTTCCAGGCCCAAGGGTTTTTTGGTTCTCTGTCACATGGTTGGGAACTCAATATTGAGAACTAGAGAATCCCAGCTCCGCAGAAGGCTGAGGTGTGAGGATCACTTGAAGCCAGGAGTTCAAGATCAACCTGGACTAATAGAGAGACCCCGTCTCAAAAAAAGATGTAGAGCTGGAAGGAAACTTGGGGGTTAGCAGGCCTGGCCAGCATGGTTGATGACGCAGGAAAGCCTGGCTCAGTCCGGCCAAACGATTTGTCCCAAGTGAGTGGTGGCAGAGCTGGACCCAGAAGCTGTTGGATGTTTGCTGCCCTTTAAACTCCAGCAGCCAAACATCTTCACAGGGCATGATTAGTGCATAGTGGATCTAGCTTCCAGGCTGAGAGTCTGTCGGGAAGGGCTTCCCGGAACCCCCCAGCTCCCTCGATAAAGGATGCGGCTCTGGTTAACCCCCTCCCCCATTTCCAGCTGGAGACTTAGCTATGAGGTGGGGAGGTGGGGGGGGCCAGAAAGTGAAGGCCGCACAGCCCAGCAAGGGGCGTGGCCCGTGCTGTTCCCAAAGGCGGAGCCAGCCAGCAGGGTCACCCTGTTCCTTTAAGAGAAAGGGGAGGGCTAGCCCCTCTCAGCCATCCTGTCCTGTCCTCCATCCCGGCCAAATCCGAAAAGGAAAATGAAAGAGGGAGCAGGAGGCACCGGTCCCAGCCACCTCCCAAGGTCCCTGGCTCAGCTCTGACACCCCAGCCCGGGCCCCAGGGTGAGTGGGGTTGGGTGATGGTCTAGGAACACCAGGGGTGTGTGGGGACCTGTGTGAGTGTGGGGCGGGGGAGGCTCTCAGGAGATGTGGAGCCTGGAGGCACAGGAGGCGGGGGAGGAGAGGGGAGAGGCCTGGGCCCGCATTCCCACCACCCTGGAGTAGGAGAGCAGGGACACCTCCGACAAAGGACCCTGTGACAGTTATGAAAGTGAGTTTGCCTCTATGTCAACCCGTCCCCCCACCTTGAGAGGAGTTCACTACAGTCAAAATGGTGAGAGAAATAGCGGGCCGAGAAAGAAATGGTCTGGCTGCCTCTGCCACTCTCCCCTCTCCCAGGGGCACCAAATTGGGTCTGGAGGCCGGGGTTCGAGGCTCCACTCTTCCACAGCATCCTTTACAGCTAAGGGCACCGCTGGGTTTCTGCTTCCACCAGGCAAGTCAGGGGCGGGCCCAACTGATCTCCAAGGTCCTTCCTAAGAATCTGGGATCTTGAAGATCCCAGGGTCGAACCGCGACGGCCCACGGGGGTGCGACTAAAACGCAAATGGGGACTCCTCCCCAGCACGCATTGGCTGCAAAGAGAAGGGAACCCATAGTTGAGCGTGGCCTGCTCCCCTCTGGCCCTCCCGTGGCCCTCCCTTTCACACTGGTCTCCTCGATAAACGCGGACCTCTCCCACCCCATGGCTCACCCTGAAGTCAGAGAAGGCCCAACGGCCCCCACCCCGATGGTCGTGGAAGGGGCGGGGGTCCCTGACCTGCCCCAGACCCTGACTCCCCGCCCCGCGTCCCCAGCGCCATGGGGGAGTGGGCGTTCCTGGGCTCCCTGCTGGACGCAGTGCAGCTGCAGTCGCCGCTCCTGGGCCGCCTCTGGCTGGTGGTTATGCTGATCTTCCGCATCCTGGTGCTGGCCACGGTGGGCGGCGCCGTGTTCGAGGACGAGCAAGAGGAGTTCGTGTGTAACACGTTGCAGCCGGGCTGTCGCCAGACCTGCTACGACCGCGCCTTCCCGATCTCCCACTACCGCTTCTGGCTCTTCCACATCCTGCTGCTCTCGGCGCCCCCGGTGCTGTTCATCGTCTACTCCATGCACCGGGCCGGCAAGGAGGCTGGCGGCGCGGAGGCAGCGGCGCCGTGCGCCCTCGGGCGGCCCGAGGCCCAGTGCGCGCCGTGCGCCCTGTGCGCCCGCCGCGCGCGCCGCTGCTACCTGCTGAGCGTGGCGCTGCGCCTGCTGGCCGAGCTGACCTTCCTGGGCGGCCAGGCGCTGTTCTATGGCTTCCGCGTGGCGCCGCACTTCGCGTGCGCCGGCCCGCCCTGCCCGCACACGGTCGACTGCTTCGTGAGCCGGCCCACCGAGAAGACCGTCTTCGTGCTCTTCTACTTCGCCGTGGGGCTGCTGTCGGCGCTGCTCAGCGTGGCCGAGCTGGGCCACTTGCTCTGGAAGGGCCGCCCGCGCGCCGAGGAACGCCACAACCGCTGCAACCGTGCGCACGAGGAGGCGCAGAAGCTGCTCCCGCCGCCGCCGTCTGCCCTGCCCTCCCGGAACCCCGACCCCGAGCCCTGCGCCCCGCCCGCCTATGCGCACCGGGCGTCCGCCAGCCACCGCGACGGCGGCAGCGGCCGCGGCAAGGCGTCACCGGCCACCGGCCGCGGGGACCTGGCCATCTAGCAACGGGCCGGCGAGGGCTGGACGGCGAGGGCCGGACCCCGCCACCTAAGGCCGCACGGCAGAAGCCGCTTCCGGCTGTCACCGGACCTGCCCCGGCAGGAGACAAGCTGTAGGGACGGCCCAGGCCGCAGCGCTCTTGCCTCCTACTGCCTCCCAGCGGCTGCCTGCGGCACCTGGGGCCGGCCGAGCTGTGGGCGGAGGATGAACTCAGGCAGGTCCAGGTGGAAAGGAAGGAGGCCAGTCTGGCGAGAGTGGACCCGAGGCGCAAAGCAGAGCGGAAGGTGGAGGGTGGTGGTTTTACAAGGGATGAAACCAACTGATGCCAGCGTTCTCAGGCACTCTCCGTGTTCAGAGAGAGTGCCCCTCCCCGTGTGGGACCTCTGGGAGTGTGCACACACGGACACATACGCACTGTGAGCTGTGTGCGCTCGCACATGTGAGCGCCGTGCATGTGCGCGCATGTGTACAGCCTGCGTGAGGCCCACTCGTGCGCACAGACCCACGTAACCCCCCAGTGAGCTGTGTGTGTGCACATGCACACAGACACATGTGTGCCCCCGTGAGAGCTGTGTACACACATCCTTTCGAGCTTTGTGTGAGGTCATTGTGCACACACACACTGTCCATCCTGCACGGGCTGCGTGTGTGCACACCTAGACACATAAACATCCTTGTTCACTAGTGCGCATGTGGACATCCTGCGTGACCTCCGTGTGTGTGTGTGTGTGTGTGTGTGAGAGAGAGAGAGAGACAGAGAGACAGAGAGATCTCGGATACGCCCTGCGGAGGCGGCCAGGACCCGATGCCAGCAGCAGCCACAATGGCTCCCCCCCACCACCCTAAACCAGCTGATCTGCCAGGGCGTTGCAGGAGGTCTGTCTCTCTCCGGAGAGACCTGTCCAGGGAGACAAGAGGAGGAGAGGCTTCCCTTCCCCGGGCAGGCCTCAGTCCTCAGGGGCCTATGAACACAACCTCCCTGTCCGCCTTGTGTCTACGTGGGGACTGGGCCCTTTCATGGAGGTGGAGGTGAAGGTGGGGCGCGGGTGGGAGGCAGGCCAGAGGGCAACACAGACTTGTGTTATGCCTCTCTCCTCCATCTTCATCCCCCCCACCACTGCTGCTCCCCCAGGCTATGAACGGAAAAGTTCCTTCTGTCCTCAGGAGAAAGTTCCCAAAACACAGGCGCTCCCAGCCCTGCCTTCCCTTCCAACCACCCACCTTTTCCTCCTTTCAGGCATTGGAAGAGCTGCTGCCTATGTAGGCATCCCTGTCCTGTGTCTCCCCTCCTGTCTGCCCTCCCCCATCACCACCCAGTGGGCTGTTATCCATAAGATCACCCAGGACTTAAGTGACAAATCCAGGGGCCTTCATCGGACTGCACCTTGGAGGCCTCGCCGTGTCTTGCCAATCAGGCTGTGCGTTTGCCCGTCATCACCCCACTCTGCCCTTCTGAGCTCCTGACAGTCCCCTTCTTCCCTTAGCTCTCCTTGTGTGCCCCACACAGTGGTGAGAGGTCTTTCTGAAAACCGCCCCCCCACACACACACTTAAACCCTGGGGTTGTGCCCCTGCCCTCAGGGTGAGTCCATCACCTTCAGGAGGCTTCCTTCTGAAGCCCTTGACAGTCAGGCCTCCAGCCCCACAGCACTGGCTTCCCGGTGTGCTCAGAACCATAGGGAATTTTCTGTTCCTAACAAGCACCAGGCCCACTTTTGCTGCCAAGTGTTTGAACGTGCTGTTCCTTTGCCCAGAGCAGCCGCTGCTTCCTGCAGTCTTCTCCTCCCCTAGCTAATGCCCACCCACCTTTTGTTGTCACTTGGGAAGAAAACAGACACCTTCAAGGAGAGGGCTTCCCTGGTAGCCCCCACCCTAAGACACAGCTGGTTGCCCTTGGCTTCCCTTGGGGGAGCACTTCTCCTGCAGGATGGCATTGCTCCCTCCCCTTCCATGGCAAGTAGTATGTGCTCAGTAAACATGTGTTGCATGAGAAACCGAAGGGTCCCCAGGCCTACACACTGCCATGCCCAAGCACTATCCATCCTATGGGGGGGCACCATCTCTCTGATGAGGTTCTGACCCCATAACCCTGACCCCTCCACACAAACTCAGACAGGGCTGTCCCGCTGTTTCCCAGATGTTTATTCATTCAACAAATATCTGTCAAGTACCTATGTGTCAGGTAATGTTCAAGATCAGTGTCATCCAATGGAAACAGCATGTGAGCCATGTATGGAGCTTCAAGTTTTTCATTAGCCACATTAAATAGTAAAAGGAAACAAGTGAAATGAACTTTCGTCATCTATTTTCTTTAACCCAGTATATCCAAAACATTTTCATCTTAACACCTCATTGAAATTAAAAAGTATTAGGCTGGGTGTGGTGGCTCACACCTGTAATCCCAGCACTTTGGGTGGCTGAGGCGGGCAGATCCCCTGAGGTCAGGAGTTGGAGACCAGCCTGGCCAACATGGAGAAACCCTGTCTCTACTAAAAATACAAAATGTTGGGGCATGGTGGCGCATGCCTGTAATCCCAGCTACTTGGGAGGCTGAGGCAGGAGAATCGCTTGAACCCGGGAGTCGGAGGTTGTAGTGAACCAAGGTCGAGCTATTGCACTCCAGCCTGGACGACAAGAGCAAAACCTTGTCTCAAAAAAAAAAAAGTATTAAGGAGATAGTTTACATTTTTTTTCTCATACTAAGTCTTACAAAACTGCACCCACCTAACCAATTCTTTCCTCTAGAGATTTAGCTGAGAGGGGGACAGGTGGGGTGGCTCACACCTGTAACCCCAGCCCTTTGGGAGGCCAAGGTGGGCAGATCGCTTGAAGTCAGGAGTTCGAGACCAGCCTGGCCAACATGGTGATACCCTGTCTCTCCTAAAAATACAAAAATTAGCCGGGTATTGCAGTGCTCGCCTGTAGTCCCAGCTACTCAGGAGGCTGAGGCAGGAGAATCAGTTGAACTAGGGAGGCAGAGGTTGCAGTGACCTGAGATCATGCCACTGCACTCCAGCCTGGGCAAGAGAGCAAGACTCCGTCCCAAAATAAATAAAATTACTTAAAATAAATAAAATTAAATTAAATTTAAAAGAGATTTAGCTGCCTGGGTGCCATGGCTCATGCCTGTAATTCCAGCACTTTGTGAGGCCGAGGTGGGTGGATCATGAGGTTAGGAGTTTGAGACCAGCCTGGCCAACATGGTGAAACCCCATCTCTACTGTACAAAAAATTAGCCAGGCATGGTAGCTTGTGCCGGTAACTCCAGCTACTTGGGAGGCTGAGGCAGGAAAATCACTTGAACCTGGGAGGCAGAGGTTGTAGTGAGCTGAGATGATGCCATTGCACTCCAGTCTGGGTGACCGGGCAAGACTCCATCTCAAAAAAAAAAAAAAAAGGGGGGTTAGCTGGGAGGGACAACCTCTTCCAGGAAGGCTTCTGAGCCCTGCCCCAGGCCTGGTTCAGTGCCTCCGCCCTGCACTCCTGTAGGCCTGTCAAGCTTGTTGCAGCCCTGCGCAGGTGTCACGCCAATCACCTTCCGGCTCAGTCTCCCTGTGGAGGATGGGCCCTGGCTCAGTGCAAAGCAGGTCAGCCCTGGAGGACCATACTCCACAGCAGTGGATCTCAACTGGGGGTGATATTGCCCCCCAGGGGACATTTGGCAATGTCTGGAGTCACATTTGGGTGTTACAACTGGGGTGGGGCAGAAGCACCACTAGGATTTCATGGCAGGAGGTGGGAGATGTTCCTGAGCGTCCCACAGTGCACAGGACAGCCCCCACAACCTAGTCAGATCTTCACATTGGTGCCGAAGCTGAGCAATTCAGCAATAGTGAACTGTCGACCACTGAGGACAATCTCAAGCCCAGAGGTTCCCAACAGCAAAGGCACTACCCAAAGGGGCAGTTTGTAAATGTGGGGGTCACTGCTTTGTTTTCACAATCATGGGGGACCCCATTGGCATTTAGTGGGCAAGGGCTACAGATGTCAAGATATCCTCTCAAAATAAAAATCTTCCTGGCACAACTTTATTTGTATTTTCATTTGTTGACACAGGGTCTCTCTCCCTTTATTGCCCAGACTAGAGTGCAGTGGCATGATCATGGCTCACTGCAGCCTCAACCTCCAGGGCTCCAGCAACTCTCCCATCTCAGCCCCCAAGTAGCTGGGACCACAGACACATGCCACCAGGCTAGGCTAATTTTTTATTTTTTATTTTTGTAGAGACAAGGTTTCACCGTGTTGCCCAGGCTGGTCTTGAACTCCTGGACTCAAGTGATCCACCAGCCTCTGCCTCAAAGTGCTGGGATTACAGGTGTGAGCCACTGCACCTGGCCTTAGGCACAACTTTAGAATGTCCCACTGGGACATTGGCATAAGTGAGAAACCCGGGCCCACAACCTATTTTACATGTAAAACATGAAGGGTTTTGTTTGGGCCTTTTTTGCATAGTTTTATTATAGATCAAACATGCTGATTTTTATTCTCTTTAATTTTCCTGGGCTACTTGTACAGAATGGTTTCCAGCCTTCTTTTAAATCCAAATGTATTCATTTAAAATAGAGGCATTAATGTACTGAAACACATAGCATTGCCCCTCAATTTAGCCTTTATAATATGGTTGTGACAGCATATTGATTTGTGAAATCACGTGTACAGGTACAGTATGTCAAATTTCATTTCAGACTCGTAAAGATGTTAGAAAATATTTACAGGAGGAAAAGCGCCTGGGTCCCTGTGGTTGCCTCCGGCCTGGGGCAGCCTGAGTCAAGCAAGGTGCTGCTCGCCATCTGGTGGCCAAAGTAGAAATGGCAGGCGGCCCCTAGCAGAATTAGCCTTACCCGCTCTGGAGGCAGAGGGTTGGGCCCCTAAACTTCCATCCCGATCCTGTTTTTGTTAGGTTTCTTTCTTGTTTGTTTGTTTGTTTTGAGGCTGAGTCCTGCTCTGTCGCCCAGGCTGGAGTGCAGTGGCGCGATCTCCGCTCTCTGCAACCTCTGCTTCCCAGGTTCAAGGGATTCTCCTGCCTCAGCCTCCAGATTAGCTGGGATTACAGGTGCCCACCACCACACCCGGCTAATTTTCTTGCATTTTTAGTAGAGACGGGGTTTCAACATGTTGGTCAAGCTGGTCTCAAACTCCTGACCTCAAGTGATCTGCCCACCTCGGTCTCTCAAAGTGCTGAGATTACAGGCGTGAGCCACCGTGCCTGGCCTCTTTTTAGGTTTCTGTGAATCCCTGATCGCAGCTCCTGTGCCATCTGTCACTTCTGCTGTGATAGTCAAGTCCGGACCCAGCCTCTGGCTTCCTAAGGACCAGAAATGTCTAGAGGTGGGGGTCCAGCCTCCTCCCTCAGACTAGGGGTTCCCTGAAGGTGGGGGCAGCTTTCCTCCTCTCCCCTCCCACTCCCAGACTGGGGATCCATGACATGGGCAGTGTGGATCCCCAGACTGAGGCCTTCCCAAGGGGCAGGCCTGTCTCCTCAACGTCTCCAAAGATCCCAGCACAAGGTGAGCCTCAGAAGGCAGCTTGGAGGGGTGCCCTGGCCAGCCTCCCAGCCCCAGTCCTCATCCTGACCATCACAGGCCCAGAGCATGAGGAAACCCATCCCAAGCCCCCAGCCCAGACACCAAGAGGAGCGGGTGGAGGCAGCGAGGCTGGAGGCGTGTGTAGAATAAATAGAACTTTATTCTTTATCCAGTAGATCTCAGTGGAAAGCCCAACAGTAACAGGTGCACCCGCGGGCTCCAGGGGAAGGGGTCCCAACCCCGGGTGGAGGAGGTCAGGGCAGAGCCGGCTCCCCCAGCCAAGGGTGCAGGGGTGAGGGGAGACCCCCTGTAGGCCCGTCCTGCGGGGCAAGGAGGGGGCACAGGAGTGGGACAGGTGGGGGATGGGGGGCAGGCCAGGGAAATGGAGGAACTCAGGCCAAGTGTGTGTTGGCCCATCTACTGTCCATAGTGTGTGTGCGTGTGTGTGTGTGTGTGCACGTGTGGGTGTGTCTGGGGGCCCTGTGGGGGTGCTGGTGGCTGAGGCTGGGGATAGGGGCAGCTCAGGCCCCTGGCCAGCCCCTTCACAGTGGGGGCTGGGGAGCTTGGATGATGTGGGCCCTGATGGAAGGCAGCTCTCGGTAGAGCCAGGTCTGGGAAAACTCTGCTGGGTCCCCTGCTCTGCCCTGACTCCACGCCTCATGTACAGGCAGATGCCAAGGCCAGGAGCCTGTCCTTCCGGGGCTGTCCCCCACCGTCCACACCCAGTGGTCAGGCAGACGGAGAAAGGGGGCTGGTGGCTTCTCCAGCACAAGGGAGGGGAAGGCAGGCCTTGGAAAATTAGTACTTCACAGTTTTAAAGAGAAAACTGAGGAGGAAAAGGCTGAGGAGAACTGGGGGGCACAGGGACATGAAAGGAGAGTGGGGGCCCCTTCTGAGCCACGCCCTCCCCCAGGACCCACCCCCCTCCAGCTCTGGAACCAGCTCCCCCCAATACACAGCACAAATTCCTTCAGTATAAATGTGCTTAAAATGAAAATTCTTATTAAAAAAAATCAAAACCAAAAAAAAATTAAAAACAAAACCAGCGAGAATACCTGGGGTTGGTATGGCAGGGTATGTACAGGGGGAACCCCCGGCCCCTGGCCCACCCCCTCTGTCACCAACCAAGGCAGGGGGGAGGTTGAGGTTCCCCAGCTGGGGAGCGATGGCTTGTGAGTTCTGAGGATGGGGGAGCCAAGTCCTGGCATTTGCTGGTGATGAAGATGTGGTGAGCTGGGCAGAGGGGTGTCTTGATGAACACGAGGCCCCCCAGGAACTATCCTGAGGCCCAGGACCAGGGGCCTCACTCAGTTCCCGGCCTCTGACGTCAGCCCAGGCTGTGGGAGCAGGCAGTCCATTGAGGGCCCAGGCCTCTGTCCAAGGAGTCGCTGCCTCCTCCCTCCCCGTCCCCTAGGGAAGGTCCCCAGTACTGCCCAGGAGGACAGGTGGGGGCAGGGCTGGCAGGGGTCACATGGTCGGTAGAAAGGCAGAGAAAAGCCAGGGCGGAGGGCGAGGGCTGTGTCCATGTGGCGTGGGCAGTCACGGGGAGTGGGTGGCCGGGCTGCTTCTGTTGGAGCTGGGGCTGAGGCTGGGGCTACAGCTGCCTGGCGGGGGAGCCAGGCCACCCCCGTCCCGTCCCCCACCCCCCGGCTGTCCACTCAGAGTGTCCAGGCCCTCTGAATTCTCTAGCATTTCCTGGATGAGAGGCGGCATGGAACCCGGGATCTCCATCTTCAGTGTGATCACTCGCTCAGCCCCTGCAGGAAAGGAGGGGACAGAGGTCAGCATGCTGAGCCAGCCCTCCCACCCCAGCCCCAGCAAGCCTGGCTCGAGGTGAGAAGATCAATCCTACTGATATTAGCATCTTTCTTGGAATTCAGTTCTTTGACATGAACCAGCTCTCTTAAGCCCCCAAGTCCAGAGGCTGGTGGCAATCGGGCAAAGTGGTCCTGAACTCTGTCTAGGGCCAGACTGCCAGGCTCGGCTTGATACCGAGCCCTTCCTCCCTCTATTCTGTGAGTTAGGGATTATCCTGACTCCTCTGTAAACATTAATGTTATCCCCACCCCTCAGAAGGGAAACTGTGGGCTCAGAGCAGTTAAGTGACCCGCACAAGGACACACGCCCACGTGTCTGGTCCCAGAGCCATGACCTGAACTACCACACAAAGGTGACACAGCCAGGCCACCTGGGCACGATGCAGTCACTGGGGGACCTCGGCCTAGACACAGATGGGGCAGGTGTCTCATTGTCCTCCACAAAGACGCAGGCTGCTGGCTTGGATGTGGGGGCCTGGGCCAGGTGTCAGGGGCCAGCACCCCTCCAGGTCTGGGAGCCTCACCCTTGGCGCTGATGCTTCGCAGGTCGGTGATCTTCATCAGCATCTTGGGGAACATGTGGGGGCGGCTGGGCCTCCGCTTCCGCACGTAGACCTTCAGCGCCTCCAGCAGTGGCTCCTGCAGCATGTCCACCCGGTCTGGCTGCTCCAGGTCCTGGCGGTCTGAGGAAGCAGAGCCACCCACTGAGCAGCTGGGAACACAGCTGCATCCCCAGCCTCGGCCACCTGGGGGCATGCCTGCCCAGGCCACAGAGGAGGGCAGCTCTCAGGCGCCTCCCCACACAGGGCAGGCAATGGGGTCCTCACTACCGCTGGGGACAGAGGCCCTTAAAAGGGGGCTGAAGGTGGGGGGTGCCCAAAGCCTTCCCTACGATCCCAGTTCGTGGGATGGGACCCCAAATGGGCAGTGCCATCCCCAAACAGGGGAGGGTTCCCAGGTTGACTCCCACTCCCACCTGTTATTCTGGAAACCAGATGAAATGGCAGAAATCACAGTAATAAAATAGCAACATACACTGGGGCTTGCTCTGGGCACCTGCACAGTCTGTTACCACCGTAATCCTCCCATCAACCTCATGAGCTACAGACCGTTGCTGTCCCCACTGTACAGAAACGGAAGCTCAGAGGCAGCCTGTTCAAGGTCACGCACCGGCCAGGAGGTGACCCTGGGAGGTTCGACCCTCAAACCCTAACTCTTAACTTCCCTAGAAGCAGTGTTGCCCAGAAAACAGGAACAGGAGTCCAGGCCCCGCATGGCCCCCTTACTGTGTAGCTGCAGACCAGACCCTGCCCTCTAGAGAGGCCTGACAGAGGTGGCCTGAAAGAGTCCCCTGGAAGAGTCTCCCAGGGCTGCACTCTCGTCACAGCTCAGCCCCCAGACCCAGGCCCCTTGCCCACCTCCACAGATGAGGCAGATGGCGCTGAGCAGCCCTGTCTCTGCATCATCCATCTCCAGGGGCAGCAGCTGGTTGGCGAAGGCAAAGACCAGGTCGGTGAGGGGACCGAAGCCAGCGTTGTGCATCTGGGTCCGATTCAGGGTCAGCCCGTCCGAGAAGGTCATGGTGTCCTGCTCGGGTGTGTACCGCGTGCAGATCCGCAGGATCTGGGTGCAGAGGATGCACGGGTTCAGGGACTGAACCCCACCTACTCAGAGCACTTGGCACCAGCACTCCCGGAGGACCACCTGGCAGCGGCCAGAGCAACGCTGTCTGACAGAATTTTCTACAATGATGGAAAGGTTCTATGTCTGCACCATCCAGTACCTCAGCCACCAGCCACATGCGACTACTGAGTACTTGAAATGTGGCTAATGCAATTGAGGAATTGAATTGAGTTTAATTTTAATTAATTTGAATTTAAATAGTCACACGAGGCAAGCAGCTACTGTACTGGACAGTGCAGGTCTAGGCATCCTGCCTCTACGCAGAGGATTTAGAGGGGGCCTAGAATTTCCAGGAGCTAAGGACTGGGCTGCTGCCTACAGCTCTCAGGATGGGGCACACAACAGGCACTCAGTAAATGTGTATGGGCTTGAACCATGCTGCATGAACCCAGACCGTGCCTCCTGCATCTAGGGTGTGAGGATGGGAGCCCCTGCAGACAGAACACTCTATACCTCCCACCCATCACCTGCCTCAACATTCAGAGGCGTCCACAAGGAAATGACAGTCTGCCAGGCGACATGGCTCACGCCTGTAATCCCAGCATTTTGGAGGCCGAGGCAGGCGGATCACCTGAGGTCAGGAGTTCAGGACCAGCCCAGCCAACATGGTGAAACCCCATCTCTACAAAAAATTTACAAAAATTAGCCGGGCGTGGTGGTGGGTGCCTATAATCCCAGCTACTCAGGAGGCTGAGGCAGGTGAATCGCTTGAACCCGGGAGGGGGAGGTTGCAGGTTGCAGTGAGCCGAGATCGCACCATTGCACTCCAGCCTAGGTGACACGAGTGAAACTGTCTCAAAAAAAAAAAAAAAAAAAAAAAAAAAGAAATGACAGCCTCATCAAATCCCAAGTCCCCAACCCTGGAGTAGGCCAAGAGGGACAGGTGTACTGTTCCTTGTCAGGAACAGCAGGGAGGACACTGCAGTTCCCACTGCCTCTTCCGGCCCCCACCCCCTGCATCCGGCCTCCAGCCCAAGCCACTGCCACCCTGGTACAGGAGACCGAGTACCAGGCAGTCTCCTGAGCTCAGCATGGCCTTACAGCAACAAGTCTTTCACTTCCTGCTCCTAAGTTAGGGCTACCCTCTCACCTGCCCCTTCTACAAACCCCTAGATGTCACCTCCTCTGAGACATCATCCTTCAGGCCCAAGCAGTCATGAGCCCTCCCCCCATCTCCAGGTAGCATTGATCACAGTTTTGCAACTTCTGTTGACTTATCTGTTGCCTCACATGGAAGGTGTTCAAGAGGGGATGGTGGTGCATTCACCGCTGGGTTCCCGACACCCAGCTCAACCACTGGCCAGAGGGTCCTAGGTGAATCTTTTTAACTTTTTGCAGAAACAGGTCTCACAATGTTGCCCAGGCTGGTCTTGAACTTCCAGCCTCAAGCGATCCTCCTGCCTCAGTCTCCCAAAGTGCTCGGATTACATGTATGAGCCACTGCACCTGGCCCCTAGGTAAATCTTTATTACCGACTAAATGGCTGGATGGATGGGTGGCTGGATGTGTGTATGGTGAACAAGTGAGCTCCTGCACATCTGGTTGCTGGGTGGCTGAGTGGACAGGGAGTCAAGTGGACACATGGACATGGGGAGAGGAAGGGCGGACATTTGGGTGGCGGGCATTTGGACAGATGATTGCAGACAGACATTTAGGAGGGTGGCTGTCTGGCTGGAAGGACATCCACCCAAGGTACGGGGCAGTCCTGGGGGGCAGGGTGCAGACCCTCACCAGGATGTCCAGGCAGGCAGCCTTGAGGAGGGTGATCTGGTCGGCGATAGTGAGGGTGGTGAAGCCTGGCAGCTGCTTGGCGAACTCCACAGTCTTAATGATGCACTTGGTGGAGAGTTCACTGAACTTGTCCCAGAGGTCAATGTCCAGAGAGACACGTTGTTCTGAGCTGTTGTTCTGGGGGAGGAGGGAGAGTGAGGGCCTTCTTCTCCATGGCACCCCTTCTCGGCCTGGCTCTGCCAGCCCCCACAGGCCTGCCCTCTACCTGGCCTTCACTTCCTGAGAGCTCCTTGGGAAGAGGCAGCGGGGGAGGGAGAAGAGAGGGGAAGGGAAGGACGCAGCAAACCAGCCAGAGGGGAAGAGGAAATGCCTGGCACAAGAAGGGGTGCCCGAGAGGGGCCCATCCTGGCCCTGTGGCCCTGGGCACCTCCCACCCTGCAGGCCGAGGGAAAGCCATACCGTAGTGTATTTGCCCAGCTGGCAGAGGGCAGGGAATGTTTCCTGGTGCGCTTTGCGCACCTTCTCAATGAGCTCCCCCACCTCCGGCGTCAGCGTGTAGCTCTCAGAGCACTCGGGCTTGGGCACCTCCTTCTTCTTCTTGTTTCGGTCGTTTCTCACAGCTGTGGAAGGCAGAGGGGGTTAGAGGGCAGCTGCAGGCTGCTCAGGGCTTCGTCCACCCCCAGCCTGACAGAGAGCTACCAGCTGCTGAGGAGGTCACCCCCAGCTTTAAGCATGCGCACACAGCAGGCGTGCATAAGCAGGCAAGACATCTCCACGCACTCCGGCCCTCTATGCCCACCCAACCCACGCATCAAGTTCTGCCCAGGAGCCCCATGAGCAGAGCTGTGGCCCTGGACACAAACCCCGCAGCTGGCTGTGTGCTGTCCCCCACGCAAAGGTCCTTCTCCCGCCTCCACTCGCCCAGCCCTCCCAGCTGCAGTCTCCCTGGGGGTCCCTTGGGACTGGCTCTAAGCAGCTCCTGGGGTAGGCGGGGAGTAGGGCTCCCCAGCCTGAGAGTGAGGGGCCTGGCGGGGAGAATCTCTCGCCCCATTAGCTGGGGAGCTGACAAATCACCAGGGGCGCTGAGCCGCACACACCACTCAGCTTTAAAGAAGCGATGGGGTCGTTACCAGCCGATTATCCCAGACACACAATCACTCACAGGGCCAGTGGTGGCGGCTGCTGACGCGGGAGGAAGGGAGGGTGGGGGAGGGGCTCAGGGAGGGGGTAGCGAGGAGGGGGTAGCTGGCATAATTTGGAGATCACTCATGTCGATTCTGCAAATTCAATAAAGTGCAGGGGAGAAAAGGGAGAGGGAGAGGGAGAGTGGGGGGATAATTTGGGAAGAGAAAATTGCAGCTGTGACAAGACGTTTATCATTCGGAAGCTTTAATTCTATTGAAATGGCAGCTGCTCAGCTCCGGGGCACAGAGCAGCCGGGAGAGGGGGAGCTGGTGGTGGGAGGGAGAGGGGGAGTTGGTGGTGGGAGGGAGAGGGGGTCCCCACCCTGGTCCTTCTGCCATGGAAAGAGCAGAAGGTGGCACAAACCCAGAGGAAGGAGGAGGTGACAGCCTTTCAATGAAGGGTTCCAGGCTTGTGGGTCTGAGTTGTCTCCCACTCTTGCAGTGGGCACCCACCACTTCCTGGGCTCAGGACAAGGCACCCCCAGGCTCCTGTGGCAGGATCCTTCAGTCCCCTCCACTCCTGTCTGGGGCTCTTCGTGCAACAGTCAAAACCATCTCTCCAGTGCCCCCTCCCCACAAAGGGCTAGGGGGTCCTGCAGCCCCCTCCCCCATCCCAACCCCCAAGGCTCAGGCTCCATGGCAACGGCCACGCAGACAAGGAGGCGTCTGTCAGCGTCATTTATCTCTGACATCATCAATCACCGGTCACCACGGCAACACTCATGATTCAACACAAGAGGGTCTCCCTGTCCTGCCTTTCCCTCCCTCCCTCCCTCCCTCCATCAGGCCTCAGCTGAGCCCAAAGTGGAAACCCCATTTCCTCTGGGATCTAAGAAGTCCCAATTATTTCTTCTAACTCTGGATCCCAGACTTAACCAGACAATGGCTTTGGATCCTTGTGCCAGCCCCTCCACTCCCCGATACACACGTAAGTCCAGCCCAGCACCCCTCAGAATTCAAGCCCCTCCCCTAAGACTCACAATCAGAAGGGACCGACTATGCCGCTGAGCCCCACCCCAAGGCCAAGCGAAGCCTGGAAGCAAGCCATCCTGGAGCAAGTACACATGCATACATAAGCAAGCACACACAGCCAGACGTGCGGAAACAGAACAGTCACACATACACGCTCCTGGAGCACAGACCTGCACCTGGACACACAGGCAGACTTGCAGACAGGTCCTTGCAGCTACACACAAACCACCCTCAACCGTGAGCCCACGCTCACGGCATGCGTGTTCATGCATGTGCACACACATCCACAGAGCCCCACTCCCTTGGTCTTTAGGAGCACCTGAGGCCCCTGCCCCATGGCACTCACACTCCTTGGACATGCCCACTTCGAAGCACTTCTGCAGCCGGCAGTACTGGCAGCGGTTCCGGGTCACCTTGTTGATGATGCAGTTCTTGTCCCGGTGACACGTGTACACCATGTTCTTCTGGATGCTGCGGCGGAAGAAGCCCTAGGTATGGAGGGAAGGGAGTCAGGTTGTCCACACCCACAGTGGGAGCAGTGCCTGGCTACAGTCTCAGTTTAGGGGAAGAGGGCCAGGCCAGCTGCTGCCCCAAGCCTTTGCCCATCGCCTACCTGGGCAAGCCAGAAAAGGTGGGGAGGACGATTCACCTAAAAGGATCCTCCTCAGGAGAATCCCAGTACCTGCCTCAACGCTGCGGGACGGGCAGGAGTCTTCCCCCAACTCACAGTACACACCTGACTCCTCCCCGCTTCCAGGGAAAGGACCTCAGGGCTGCTGATGAGTCAGAAATAGAAAGACATGGGGCTACTTTGCAAACAGCCAGGGATCTGGAACCCACACCCATGAACTCAGAACACAGGAAGAGCAGACAAGCAGGAAGAGGCCAGGAGGCAGACACAGGGGCTGGCCAGAGAAATGGAGGCGCACACACACACATGCACTCAGAAGCAAGGCAGAAACACGCAGGTTCACCAACGAGACAGGCATGCACCAACCAACACAGACACAGACCCAGACTGGCCAGGGGCTCCACATACAGGCTGACTAGAGTCAGATGGACAGATGAAAAACACATCAGGGACAACCAGACAGAAGAAGACACACAGCCTGAAGCCTTGCGCTTTGCCCTTGACCTCCGTCTCACACCTGGGGATAGCTATTCCAGGCTGAAGGGCAGCCCAGAGCCACAAGGCCCAAAGCTGTAAGCCTCTGAGCCCCAATCTCTGGAGGGAGAAACCCACACAGAGGCTCACGTCCTGGGGAAAGGAGGAGAAGCCAGGCAAAGAGCTACTGAGAAGGAACGGTTACATCTGCACCCTGGCGCCTAACACGAGGGTGGGGAAATTCAGCCAGACACTGGGGAGCCCATAGCCTGGGCACCTGAAGGGGAAGCCAAGGCAGGGTGCCTGCTCCTAACTGCCTCCTGCCAGGCTGCCATAGTGAGGTTCAGGCAGGGCCGCTGGGGGAGGACTCCTGGGTCCCCAGCCAAGAGCCAGTCGGCAGCCAGCTCACCATGGCAACCTGGGCAGCGGTGGCAGAGCAGGCGTATGCCCTGCCAGCTGGAGGATGAAGACAGGGAAAGGAGCTGAGGCAGGAGGGGACCTCTGGTTTGAGGGAGCCCTTTACATTTATAGAGGAGGTCCTACAGCAGGTGTCCTGCTTGTTGTCAGCTTCCACAGAGAAACAAGAGCAGCAGCTTCGGGGACATCCCCCCATCCCAACTGCACACTCCCATGACACCGAAGTGGGGACATCCCATTTACCTAATCAAGCTGTCCTTCCCAATGACCCCTTCAACTCACCTTGCAGCCCTCACAGGCGCTGACCCCATAGTGGTAGCCTGAGGACTTGTCCTGACAGACAAAGCAAGGCTTGTAGATGCGGGGTAGAGGGGGCGGTGAGGGAGGGCTGGGCACTATCTCTTCAGAACTGCTGCTCTGGGTCTCAATGGCTGGAGAAAGAAGAGGGGAGGGGCAGTTAGAGACCTAGGTCGCCATCCTTAGTACTGAGCCCCACCCTTCCTCCAAGAGCTGGTCTCTCCTATGAGCCTCTCCCAGCCTCACCACTGCTGGCAGGATTCAAGTCTTAGGAAAACTGGGACTCCCCAGCCAGACTCAGGGAAGGAGGCTGCCAATGAGGCCTCCAGCGCCCCATCACTCCTACGGACTCCTAGGACCCCCACCTTCAAAAACACAAAGATATGATGATAAACCATCAGATTTGCATGTGTGCCATGACTGTGCTTGGGGAGTAGGGGTGGGGGTCAACCTGACCCTAAAGCTCCTGCCCTTGGGTGACCTGGACCCATTCTCCTCTGAGTTAGGAAGGAGTTAAGGCTTGAAGAGGGAGGGAAGAGGACACAAGCTGGGGGCAGAGGAAACTGGGGTCAACAGGATATTCAAAGCCAGCCACTCCCCTGCTCCCTCTGCTTCCGCTCCCCCTTCCACCCCATTCTGCCAGCAGCCATAGGCCCTCCTCCACCCAGACAATCCCAGGGCCAGGGACCCAAGGCAGGGGGTGCAAAGAGTCACAAATGCTGGGCAGAGCAGGAGGGGTCCCCCTGAGATAGGCAGGAGACACCCTAAATACAGGGAGAAGGGTCCTTGGGGCCCCAGAAGCCCATCATTCTGGGTACCCCTCATGTGGGGAGAGATGGCATGACAAAGGGGGTCTGTTCCCATCAATGCTCTGTCTGTCTGGCCTCAATACTATGTCCGGATTACTGCCCCTCCCCTTGTGTTATTCAGCTCCAAGAGGGCAGCCAGGAGGGGTGACCCAGACAGCATGGGCAGCCCTCACTGGCCAAAACCTCCCCAGTGCCTGGCACCATGCCCATCACTGGAGGCAGAACAGGGCTGGGTTGGGTAGGGGCTGTCTGTGTCTAAAGCCTGGGCAGCTAAGGGTGTTGGGTGCAAGCTAAGAACCATGACCAAGACAATCCCAGATTCCCAAGGGGCCACCCAGTATCATCCTAAGGCCTTTACCATGTTCAAGTCAACATGTCCAGGGCCAAGGATGGGTGAGGACACCTCCCTGAGTAGACAGATCCCTGCCTCCTCCCATATCTCATAATCCTACCCAGCCCTACCCCAAACTACAGCACATGAGATTCTGGCTGGCGTTTAAAGGTACCTGCAGCTCCTGGCCCAAGCACCTTAAAGACATGAGTAACACGGCCCCAAATCACACGGCCCTAAAGTTGGGGCACAGAGGAAGGAAGCATGGGAACACCAGGAGCTATGTGTTACCACCCTCCCCACTTACCTGCAGACACAATGGGGGCTCCTAGGTGGCTGATAACAGAACTATGCCAACAACCTTGGCAGGGCTTTCCTGGCTCTTAGTAGTGCCTGGGTACCACTTCCCTGGCCAGCCTGGCTGACCAGCACTGCTACAGTCCCACATCCCCTTCCCTGCCCCCAGAGCAGCCTGCAGCAAAGCCACAGTTGATGCCCACAAGCCCCCCCAGCTCAGTAGACTCTCTTCTGACCTCCCTCCACCGTCTGCTCCTCACCCCAACACCAACTGGCCCTGGCCTGGTTTTCTCCCACTTCATTCTCCCCAGGCCAGACAAGCAAATGAGACAGGCTGAGAGCCCTGAGAACAGCTGCTGGGGGGTAGGGTTGGGGGACCTGGGTGAGGCCAGGAGGCAGAGGGGGTGAGCGACAAAGGAGCCCTTTGTTGTGCTAACTTTTTCCAAGACGTAAAAGCAGTAACAATAGACAATCCAGACTGGTTGGAGGGGGGGTCAAGGGCAAGGGGGTATGTGGAGGGTTGTGGGGAACCATGGCCTAGAATCTTGGTCAACATTCCAACAAGCAGAAGAAGAAGGCACTGATCTCCCCACCCCTCCTAAGTCACCATTTGCGCTGGGCTCCCCCTTTCCCCAGGCCCCACCTCTGAAATGAACCAGACTGGAGAGGGAGAAAGGACTGAGGGAGCTGTGAGGTACAGAGTGAGGTGGCAGGAGGGGAGCTGGGGCATGGGGAGCCACGGAGGATACCAGGATGAGGGCTAAACAGCTCTGAGGCCTGGGACAGACTACAGGGCACAGACCCATAAACACATGAAGCTTAAGCAAAGTCCAACAGAGTGTTTACAGAACTGAAAGAATGTGCTTTTGAAAATTATTTTTTGGCAGAATGGCAGAGATGACAGGAGGCGAGGGCTACAGTTTGGGCTGGGCGAGGCCTCCTTTGAGCCCAGCCAGTGGCAGCTTGGCTGCCTTGGAGGCTGTAACACAGCCTGCCCCTACCTCTAGCCCAACCCCACCTGTCACCCAGGTAACCCAGCTCTGAGGTTTCCCTGCTCTGCCCTTTGAACCCAGAGCTTGAGGCCCCACCTCCCCAGGCCTCCAGCCAGCAGCCCAAGGAGGTGAGGTACAGGGACCAAGGCGGAGGTGTGGGGAACTCCGGGATACTCACAGCCTCTGCCGGAATTGGGACACAGCCATAACTCCCTGCACATACAGGTGGAGAGGGGAGGGACACCAACGGGGGAGGGATTGGCCCGGCCTAGCCCCTCCCTGCTAACCTCCCTCTCCAGAGGCCCAGCCCACCAATCTCTTCTCTTCCTGCATTAGCACTCAGGCTAGAGAAGGACCACACCTTCTCTGCTCAAAGTTCCAGCGCCCAGCAGAGGACTGGAACTGACCCAGGAAGCCAGGCGTCCCCTCCCGCCAACGCTGCCAGAGTGCCCCTCCCTCGCTCCCCCATCCTAGTAGGGCGGGTGGTGCAGAGCGCTCCACTCCAGATTCCCCACGCCCCCGAGCCGTTCACAGGCTCGCACAAGGGGCCGGTTTCCTGGAGGAGATCAGCAGGAAATCAGCCGGGCCCCCGGCCAGCGGCTCCCCTCCCAATCCAGCTGGCGCCCGCTCCTCCGCAGCTCCCCTCGCAGCCCCTGGGGACGGTTGGGGAGGGGGCGCAGGGCCCTCGGTACCGCCCTTCCTCCCCCCGGGGGGGGGGGGGGGGGGGGGGTCGGGAGGGGAGGTAGCTCTGGATATAGCGCAGCAGCAGCAGCAGCGGAAGAAGGCCCCTAGCACAGCGGCTGCCCGCCCGATAAGCATCTCTCCCTCCCCCTACTACGGGCATCCACGTGCTTCACATTCTTGGACGTCTGGGAGCGGGCGGAGGTGTGAGTGGTTGAGATTGGTGGGGGACAGATGGGGAGCCACATCCTGTGCACCCCCCTTGTCCTCTAATGCACCGAAATGGGGGATCTGGGGAGAGAGGCAAGGTCGATAGGGCCCTGCAGGACCCAGGAGGCTGCCTTCTCCGACAGCCAACCTGCTCTTCCCACCTTCAGTGGAAGTGAAGTGGGCAGTGAATTCCCCAAGAGGGGGCTGGGGGCGGCTCCAGTCACCAGAGGACCTCCACACACACCAAGGGGTCCCTTCCAAGGCGGTGGCATTGGCCTCACATATTCTAGATGGAGTCTAGTTGCCACCCTCAGACTCCAGGTCCTTCCTGTGCCTTGGGGCAAGTCTCCAGTGCCCCCCCCTGCCATCACTCCCAACCTTGCAGCCTCAGGACCTGAGTCCACTGAGACCTCATTGACTTATACGAAAACTCACGCTCAGACTACGGGAACTCTAGGTCTACCCCACCCCAGAACGGGTGTGAGGACAGGTCTCCACTTTGCCGTGTCCAGTGGTTTAGGGGAAGCAGGGCTTACCAATACACTGTCCTACACGCCGTGATCCTCCTTCCCCTCCAGTTCTGGGCCAGGAAGAGCTGAGCTGTCCCCATGGGCTAAGAAGAGACGGGCTGGAGTCCAAGGTCTCAGATTCCAGCTTCTCTCCAGCCTCTGGAGAAGGTGGCCAAGGCAGTGGAAGGGGTGACTCTGGCAGCCCCTGCCCCAACTATCCCACTAGGGGAGAGGGGCCTTGCTCCAGCACTTGGAGAATGAGAAAAAAGGTCCTAAAGTCACCCTCTCACTCTCTCTCCTTCCAAAGTCAACGGTGGATATCCTCCCTCTGCTGTCTACAGCCACACAGCAGATTCAGACCCAGAGGCAAAGGTCGGGGACAGGACAATAGGAAAAGCTGGGATTGACGTGGCTCTGGGAGGACAGAGGTGGGCTCTCTGTCCATCTCAGGTCTCTCTTCTCGAAGCAAGAGGGGCTTCAGGTGGGGTAAGTCCTTTGCCCTTCAACCTTCTCCAATCTGCCAGGCCCCCTAGACCCACTCCACCCCTCCTCCCAGGCAGGCAGGAGGGAGGCAGCAGGTCTGGGAGGGTGGGAGATCCTCCAGGGAAGAGCTTTCCCCAGGAAAGAGCCCAAAGTCCAGTAGGTGAAGAAACCTGAGCCATCTAACAATAACCCCTTTGCGCCTGCTCCAGCCCACCCAGTGTATACTGCCTCACAGCTAGGCAGGAAAATGCCCAGGTGTATACCCTGGTGCTCCCAGCTCCTGGGTGTGCACAGAGCCCTTCCTCCCAGAGGAGCTTGCACCCAGGCAGGGGTCAACAAGGAGAAAAGGTGACTAGGCTGTCAGGATGCTAGGATTCTCATTAGTGCCCCTCTTAGGAAGGGACAGCCCAGGGCCTAGCTGTATTCCCAAGTGAATTCGGGTTAACAAAAGGACTCGGTGGTGGGGGGGGGTGCGGGGGAGGGGGGAGGGGGGAGGGCTGGGAAGGGATGCAGTCCTCATTTCCAGAGTAGCCCCAGACCCACAAAAACAAACTCATCCCCCAGAAAACAAGCCGGATTAGGATTAGGGGGAGAGGGATTCTTCCCACCAGAGCAGCTTCTTTCCCCTCCACTCCTGGGGATGAAAGCCTCGAAGATGACAGCCAAGTGTCTAGGGCCAGGACAACCCCAACATGGACCAAGTGCACCTTGCCAAGATGGAAGGTTGGTTAGGATGGCAGACGGGTGTCTGATGAAGTTGCCCCCTCTGCCACACCCCACTGTCAATAAGACATCGAGTGCTCCCCTGACACCCACTCTAATGACGCAAGAGCAGGGGCTGGGGGCAGCAGCTGTCGCACAGGAAGGGACTCTCCCTCGAGCTTTGGCAGGAGTGGGATCTGGGGAGGGGAGCAGACCTTTACCCCACCCTCCAGCCTGCTGTGAAGCTATTGGATTCCAGACAAGAAGATATAAACTGGGGGCAAGGGGCTTGGGCTTCATCTCTCCTGGAAGAAGTGACACAAGAGATGAAGGAATGTTTCTTGAAAAAAGGAACCCTCAAAGTTCCTCAGCCCTAATCTGAGAAATTGCACTCAGGGTTACTGGGGGCGGGGGGGGGGGGGGCGGGTTCAATTGTCCAGCAAGGGCAACATGGATTAAGTGAAAGGTAGAGACAAGATCCCTATCCCTGAGGAGCAGTGGAAGCCCTACCGCCCACTCCCACCCCCTGCAGCAGCAGAGGGAAAGGCCAGTACGTACAGTGGTTTGAGCCATTCCAAAGCGGAGTCCGGAGCGGGGTGGAGTAAGGACCCGAGGCGGGAAGCCCCTTCTCCGGGAGCAAACAAGCCCGGTTCTGGTTATAAAAATCCACCACTAGGAAGGGGTTAGGGGTGGGACCCCCCACTTCCACACTCTCGTACATCTTCCCCCTCGAAGGCAGGAGGTCCAAGTTCGGAAGTCCTGCGCGCCGCCCCCGTCAGTCAGCCGGCGGCGCCATCCGAGTAGAGCAGCTGGGGGCGAGGAGACGTCCCCTCGCCCTGACTGGTGACCCGGGCAGGGGGCCGCCCCCTGCCCTGAAGTCTCCGCGTCTAAGTCCGCCGGCAGCTTCGCCAGTCCCAGTGAGAAGCGGTGAAGTTGTGTGTGCTGGGAGCTGGGGATCCCTTGGCTCTCCTTGGGAAACCCGGTAGGGAACGCGAACTCAGCAGCTTCACCTCGAGGGGGCTCCCGTCCAGAGTCTCGTGGTGTCCGAGGCAGAGTCCCGCGGCTCCCCAAGTCCGCAGGCCAGGGGCGGGATCAGCGCGGGGCGGGGGGGTCAATGAGCACTTCCTCCTCCCCGCTGGGGCTCCCGGGCTTCTCCGGGGATTCTCCGTGGCGAGGATTCCGGGTGGGGGTGGGGACCCCGCGTGGTTCCGCCTCTGCCAGGCGAGGGACAGCCGGTGGCTCGCTAGGTCTCCGGTGGTGCGCGCCGCGGCACCCCCAACCTCAGCTCGCGCGCCCCCTCCCCTCCAGGTACCACCCCCTTTTCTCTGCCCCGCCCCGTCCAGGCGCCGCCCCTGGCTTAACCCATTCCCGGCGGGTCTGGCTGCAGCGGGAGAAACGCAGGGAACCGAGAGGGAGAGGCGGCCCGTGGACAGGCGAGTGGGGGCAGCCTGGGAAGGGGGAGGAAAGGAGAAGGAAGGGGGAAAGGCAAGAGGGGAGGAGTACATAGTAGAGGGAGGCCGAGTACAGGGAGAGGAGGGGGTTGCAGGGGGACTAGGACGGAAGAGGGGCGGGCGTCTTCCCTAGTCCCAGTTCCGGCTCCCAGGCTCCCAGGCTCCCCCAGTGTTTGGTCAATCCTCAGCCGAGTGAAGCCATGGTGGAGGTAGCGGTGGGGCGGTGAAGAGGGGGGTGGTCCTGGTGTCCTCCCCTTGACACACACCCCACCCAGGCTGTGCCTCATTTGCCTAATGCAATGCGGCTGAACTCTCGCTGAACTCGCCTGGCGGCGCCTCACCTCCGAGTGACCCACCCACCACTGCCCGTGACATCACCCGCCTGCGAGCCCCCTGCCCGGCTGGACCGGGCCACCTCCCCGGGAGACTCGGAGAGGAGAGCGGCCGCAGGAGGCGTAGGGCTGGGGTGCGCTGGGCTAAGTGTTGGCGCCCGGGTGTGACATTGTGCAGCTCGGAGGTTGTGTCGGAATGAGACACCGGTTTGTGTCATTGTCTGTGACATCATGTGTGACTCTCCAGCCGCCGGAACCCGACGCGGCAGCGCGGGTGCTGTTAGCACAAACACAAGCAGAGGGGGCTCTCCTCCCCACGCTCTGCGTGCTTCCGGTGAGCAAAGCCCCGCCCAGGGTGTCTCCCAGCTGGGGAACCAGGATCGGCCCCTGGTGCACTGTCCAGCCCTGGAGAGATAAAAGGAGGAGCTGGTGCCTTCCCGTTGACTATTTCATCCTGGAAGCCCTCGGGATGCACGTTTCATTGGAAGAAAGGCCTAGCTTGGGTAGGACCCTGGAGAGGAGATACCCCTGGAGGAGGGGGTATCCTATTAACCGCACTCTCTAAAAAGAAGAGTGGAGATGTACATGCTACCCAAGGATATTCTTCTGGAAGCCTGGTTCCTTATATACGTTGTCATTTTATACTCACAGCAACTTCAAGAGATAAGTTTTACAAATAAACAGGTCTCAGCAAGACTATGTGGGTTGTCCAAGATCACATTACTAATAATAAAGAGTAGGGCAGGGGTTTTAAATTTCTGCTGCCAAAGCCCATGTTCTTACCAAGCCAGGCCAATTCAAGGTATTTTTCTGAGAACCTTCTACGTGGACACCCTGGGGAACCTGCCCTGGTAGACCTTAAGGAGCAACAGCCATTAAGAAAATAATCACTATATACACACACAATTGCAAACTGAGATAATGGTATTATGCTCTGAATAATTAACAAAGGCACCTAATTTAGGTTGAACTAAATTAGAGAAGAACAAAAATAAAACAGACCTACCGTAAGGCAAAGTTTATAAGATAGTCAGGCAAAGAGTAGAAAGGAGTGTAGTCCCAGTAAAAGAGCAAGCCTGTGCAAAGGCCCTGGGGTTACAGAAGTTGGTGAGTTCATTCAAGGAATTGGCAGAAGGCTAGGATGATGGAGCATAAAATTCAAAAGGAAAAGGTAAACAAGACCAGGCTGGAGAGGTGGGCTCAGGCCAGACCAGGAGGGCTTATAGGCCTCAATAAGGCTTTTGGATTTTATCCTAAATGCAAGGAAAAGCCATAGAGAGATTCCAAGCAAAGGAGAGATAAGATCAGATTTACAGTGTAAAAAGATCTTTCCAGCAGTTGTGTGAAGAATGGATCATAGGAGGGCAAGAGAGACCAGGTAAAAGCTACTGCAGCAGTCCAGGCAGCAGACAAGGGTGGCTTAGCCTAGGAAACTGAAAGTGCTGATGGACAGAGGAAGGTAGAAGGTGGATTCACTAGATATTTTAAAGGTAAAATCAATGTGGCAGGGGGTGAGGTAGGAGGTAGCAAAGAGGCTTGTGTACGGCTTATGTATCAGTGAAATGCCTGAGACTGCAAAGCAGAGAAGTCCACTGGGCTGCTCGGCAGGTGGGTGTGGGGCCCTGAAGTGCAGTCAGGGTTGCAGATGGAATGCTGGGGTCTGGGGGCAGGTATGCAAATCTTGACAGTGGATGCGACCTACGGGGAAGAGGACAGAGTGCTTCCATGCCCTTGGGATCTTTCCTCTCAAATGATGGAGCTAGGCTCTGTGCTCACAGCTGCAAGATGCTAAGGGACTTGAGACTCTCTCCCTGCCATCAAAGACTTCGTGGTTAGGAAAAGAGGTCCCAAATGATTACAGCTCACGGCAGGAACAGGGGAGATGCAACTTCATGGTAGAGAGATGAGTGTTGTTAAAAAATAAATAAGGATTCACAGGCATTCTAAGTAGGGAGGGAGAGTGTGGCAAAGAAGGGGGAACATCTGTGAAGATTTCTGGGAAGAGGCGGCATTCAAGATGTTCCTTGAAGGAGAGATAGGATTTCCGGAGCTGGAGAGGAGAAGCTAGGGCAAGAGGCCTGTTCTGGGCAACAGCAAGGTCATGGGGCAGGTCAGAGCAGAACACAGTGTCCTGAGGCAGTGGGAGAAGAGGGAAACAAGGAAGGCTCTGGCCAGCAGCTGCGGCTGGGGGGCCTCTGGTGGCAGCTGTCTGCAGGCCTGGGGCCCCATCCTGCTCAGCCTTATCCCTCCGTCAGCTCCTTCTCAGGGCTTTGCGTTTAGTAAGCCCTCAGCAGGTGCGGGCTGAACTGGCCCCCACTTGTGCCAGGCAGGGCCTCCTCCTGTCCCCAACCCCATCTGGAGGGGACAAGAAACAGGAAATCATGAGGCCCAGTGCCAGGTGGACACTGGGTCCCAGTACAGAGTGGTGCCATCCCCCAAGACAGTGCCCAGCTCTACCCTGCCCCTCACTATCACAGCCTTGCTGGGTATGTGAAACTCACCAAGGGCCTCAGCAGGAAGTGGGCCACCATGGCCTAACAGCAACTTGCCCAGCCAGGGAAGGATCAGAAGTCTTGCTTTACTTTATTTATTTGAGACAGAGTCTCGTTCTGTCACCCAAGCTGGAATGCAGTGGTGTGATCTCAGCCCACTGCAACCTCCACCTCCAGGGTTCAAGTGATTCTCATGCCTCAGCCTCCCGAGTAGCTGGAATTACAGGCACACATCAGCATGCCCAACTAATTTTTGTATGTTTTGTAGAGATGTGGTTTTGCCATGTTGCCAAAGCTGGTCTCGAACTCCTGAGCTCGAGCGGTGTTCCCAACTTGGCCTCCTAAAGTGCTGGGATTACAGCCACCGTGCCTGGCCAGACGTTTTGCTTTAAAGAGAAGGAAACGGATTCGGAGAGAGCTTGAGTGACCTGCCCAAGGCCACACAGGAAGAACTGTCCTTTAAGACTCCTGCCCATGGAAAGCCCTTGGTCTGTGGGCTGCTTGAGGTTTCCAGCAACCCAGAAGCCAAAATGGGGAGGGGAGCACCTCTATTTCTGACAGCCAAAGGTTGAGTGGCCTCCAATCTACCCTGGGAGGCCTGACTCACTGGCAGTGCCCCAACTCCATAGAGGAGGAAGAGGAAGGCACTGCCCCAAAATCACTTAAGAGACGGGAACCACTTCCTCTTTCTGCAGACACTGCTCCCTCACAGGGCAGTCAGGCCTTCACTGGCACAGCCCCATAGGCAACACACCCCTTGGCATGGGGTAGACATGATACCTCCCGCCCTCACCCACCTCAAAGGAAGAAGGGCTTCCTTCCGAGTCCCCTCCCCCAGTGCATGCTGGGATCTTGTCCAGAGGGAACCTGTGCATTATCCTTCCTGGGAGATGAAAGGTGAGGGACCCCATATTCATTAAAAACTCCATGTAATGGCCTTTTGGCTGACTCTACATTTTGGCCAAGAGATAGGCATTGCTAGGCAGTACCCTCCCCTCGAGCTATGTCCCTCCTATTGTCCAGGGAAAGAGTGAGAAGCAGGGAGGGTGGGAGGATGCAGAGACTGCAACAGGGAGGAAGTGGCAGAGGATAGGAAGAAGGGAAGGACACAGCCTCCTCCTTTCTGCCTTCTGCTGGGGCTCACCCAGACCCTCAGGCACTCTCCAGTCTCTAGGCACACAAAGCAAATATGCAGCCACCCTTTTGGGGCTCCCATCCCCAGCTCCTCTGTTGATTGCTTGCAACTTCTTTGCCTCCATCCACAAATTGAAACAAAATAAGAATAAGAACTGTGGCTTTTACACTCTGTTCCTTCGTGTCTGTCTGGAGATGGGGGGGAGGGTGCCTGCTGAGTTCTGCAAACTCCCGTGGGCTACAGCGGGCAGATTTGGGGGTGGGGATGGTGTGAACAGATTGTATCCACAGCTTCCAGGACAGGAAGGAGATCTGGCCCAGGCCCCTTATCTTTCTTTCCCTCCAGCCTTCAGGATCCAAAACAGAGAAGACGGGGTATGGCTTGGGCCTTCCCTACGCCCCCTACCGGGGGAAGGCAGGTTCTAAGGCAGAGAAAGGGCCTCTGCAGTGAGGGAAGGGGTTTCAATCAGCAGTGAACCCCACTCCCCACGCTTCCCACACCCAAGAGTATGCCCTACAATCCCCTCTACCTATTCGGGATGGTGGAAAACAGCGTGGCTTTACAATCCTACAGTCATGATTCTGCAGTACTTTAACCTCCCCGAGCACTGTATCCTCTGTGTAAGAGGGGATAATGTCCCTCTTCCAGAATTGCAGGGATTAAGATTTGTGAAACACAGACAAAGCCCCTGACACACAGTAGGTGCTCTATAGATGTTAGCATTCCATTCTCTCCAGCTCCCACCTACAAAGGGTCAGGGTCCCATGGCATCAGGTCACATGCAAGGCACAGAGCTAAGGTAGTAGTCGATGATCTTGCCTAATCTGCAGCCCTCTGAGGTAGGTTCTGGTAATATCCCTATTTTACAGATGAAGAAACATTCTCAGCCGGGGCGCAGTGGCTCACGCCTGTGGTCCCAGCACTTTGGGAGGCCAAGGAAGGCAGATCCCTTGAGCTCAGGAATTCGAGACCAGCAGGCCACATTTTGAGGCCCTGTCTCAAAAAAAAAAAAAAAAAAAAATGAGGCCAGGCACGGTGGGTCATAC